ACACAAATACCATTTCCCCCTAGTCCGAGCTATCGATCGGAGACTTGCAAGGCGGCGAGCCCGTTTCGGGGGCTGGATGCTCCCGGACTCCTCCGCCTGGGCGGCGAGGCTAGGGATGACACGAACGGCGGTCGGGGCTGGAGCGGGGCCGGGGCTGGGGGAGCGGGGCTGCGGGAGCGGGGCCGTGGCCGGCCTTTGTGTGGGCGGTGGGGGAAGGCGCGCCCTGTGCTGGCTCTGGCCCCGCTGCAGCCCCGCTGTCAAAGACGCGCGGCAAAATTTACGACCCTGCTTGCAAAGGAGTTGAGGGCCCTTCCCTGCCGGTAGCACCGGGCAGCGGCTGTCCTGACAGCCGCATTGTTCCTTCCGCGCCTCCCCGCGCAGGCGGCCGCGGCCACCGCCGCCGCCCATGGAGGCGGTCAGCATGCCTCCTCCGCGGCACTCCGCGCTGCTCCTCGCTCGCCCTCTTTCCCCTGCTCCCTGGGAAGCAAAGGTCACCGCTTGCGCCCGGTCCGGTCCCCGGCCGCTGCCGAGCTGGAAATCAGGAAGCAACGTGCCCTATTTGTCAAGCGTTTGACAGCTGAGTTCATTAAGGCTTAAATAAGAAGGAATAAAAGTAAAAAATATTTACGTACCGGGCGTCTCTTTTTCGGCAGCTAGCAAAGAGCTAGGTGTGCAGAGAGAGGGACTGCACCCTTTGTATATTATATTCTTGGGATCTCTTCAGTTTTCAAGTCTGATAGAGTCCTTTGCTTGGCAGATTAATGACGACTCCGTGTTTCTTAAGGGACGTGCTGAATTAATTATTTCGCAAATCACGTGGTCAGGACTTGTAGAAATCTATTCTTATCATCTTCCTTGCACTTTGAAATTCTGCCTGTTATGACTGTTCCTACCGAGGTTATTTTGGTCTCTAGGCTTGGGGGGAAGGAAAAAAAAAAAAGGAAAAAAGAATCAGGGGAAAGGGCTAACAAACATGGCCGTTGGAAACGGTGTGGCTCTGCACAGAGAGGTCCCTATTTACTGTACTGTACAGTGAGTGGGGTTTGCTATTGACTCTGCCTTTCCTCTTCATTCTTACCTTAACGACTAGTGGTGATATAATATACAGAACCGTATTGATGTATCGGGAGTAACAGGAGGAGCCATTAAACAGGAGAGAGAAAGTATAATCACAAAATGTGCCTCGACATTTCAACTTGTGCTCAGAACCGCACCCGCACCCACCTCGGCACACCCCGGTGGGAAGGGCCCTCGCCTCACCCGGGCACCCCTCTCCTGCCCTGTCCGAATGGGGTGCTCTCCCTTTGGACCCTACCTTGACCACGCTCCAGGGGAGGATAAGTCTTCAGTGGCAAATACTTGTAACAAATAACACAATCGACTTCTGCTGACCAGAGGTGCATGTTGTTGTCTGAGGTGCTTAGTCAGCGGGATTAAAAATAAATGAATAAATGTTTGCTTTAGGTGCACAGGAAAGTTTAAACTCCCCAAGTTTGTGTTTTCTCGTGGTCTTTGGTTTGTATCGGCTGGAAAAAAAAATAAATAAAAAAAGGAAAGCTTACTGCTCAGGAAGAGCTACTTCCAGCATTTCCATTTCAAATTTCTTTTTTGAATGGATTCCGTCCAGGACTCACCTAAAAGGCACCCATCTGTGTGGGGATCGAGGTGACTTCAGGTGTGGCTCCTCGTCTCCTACCGCACATGCATAAATCCGGGAGTCATTCTAGGAGGGCTTGTTAAATGCAAAGCAGTAGCAAATGGATGACAGGCACTTTTAACTGCAGCCTAAATGTAAATATAGACTCCAGCTTGGCCTAAAGTCACACCATTATAGCTGGGGCGATCATCAGACCTGTTCAAAGGGACATTTGGAAAGATGCTATGCAGTCACTCATCTTTTAACACTGTAATGATGGGAGGGACCAGCATTTTCACAGCAGAAAGACCCACCTTGTAAGGACTGTTTGTTCAAGGTACAAACCAGAATCTATTTCTCTACACCTTTTATTATTTCAAATGTATACGGAGGGCTTACATCAAAACTACAGGCGACATTTAGTATAAATAACGCTTTAATCAATGGCAGCAAAACATTGGCAAAGTCTATAAAAAGCATCACACTTCAACAGAGATGAGAGTATTGCTGGACAATGCAACCGTTTAACAAAGGCTCCAACGCACAACGTTTCACTCATGATATACAAAAATAACCATCTTCCCTTTCGACACAAAGTAACTCTGAAGGAGGGTTAAAAACCAATAAGAAATAAATGTCAGGTTCGTTTTGCAGGAGAGATAGTGACCAGTGGGTGCTCCTGGTCGTTATTACAGAGCACTGGCATCTGGAAACTATTTCTTTTGGTACTTTTTGCCTCCAGTTCACGTATTATCCAAGCTCACAGCGCAATTACAACTGTGTAAACTGACAGTGCCCCCAGCCTCGCTCAAAGAGGGCTTGCAACAGGGGCTGTAAGAGCTGTGTTGAACTCAACACTCATCCTGGAGATATTAACATTTCAAAAGACAATGAGAAAAATTCTGCTCGCAGATACATCCCTGTTTGACTTCAGTGGGTGGGGGAAGTAAATCTGGAGCAGAATTTGGTCCTTTAACTTTGGGAGCCATCTCGGTTGATAAGAAGCCCAAAGTAAGGATTTGCTTATCCTAGGCCATTATTTTCCAGAACTGTACCACAGAAACCAAAGTTGGTGGCTCTCTCTGACAACCCTTTTGCCCTGCTCCCAACCAACTTATCACAGACTTTGAGTGAACAGCGGGGGTCCAGGAGGGGCATTTTCAAGAACAGCCAGAGAAGGTTCCCCCCAACCCCCTTTTTTTGGGGGTGGGTTTTCTTTTCTTTTTTTTTTTTTTGCCTTTCCCTGGATTCATCTGAAGAGCAAAGGGAGGGCTATGGACAGCTCTGGAGACGAAAGGCCGCTACCACAGGATCCGGGTATAACAAAACTTGAAAACTTGTCTCAGGAATTCCCTCCTCAAGCGCTGCTGCTAGCTGCTCTCCATGCCAGAGAAAGGGAAGGGTAGTTTGGGTCCAAAAGGTTAAGGGTTTAGAGGTCACTCTTCCCGGCTGAAATACAACTAATCGAATAGAAAATTTGTCCTCTGGGTGAACCTGCTCCTGCAATTTAGCCGAACTTCAGTAAAATACCTTTTCAGCTTCTCAACGTGAAGGCGTCAGAAAAAAGACGTCTTTACTATGTATGAACTCGGTGCTTTTTGTCATAGAAACAATGACGCGAATAATGCGGGAATATCCATCTTTAATATCACGACGTGGAGATATTCAAGTATTGCCATGTGCAAGTCTGAGAACTGGGCTAACCCTAACGAAGAACAAAGAGTTTTCTCCAGGCTCTAAAACAAAAGACCAGGTCTTAAAGAGACTTTACGGACTTCTAGGGATGAGAAAGGGGCAGAAATTAACCGCTGGCCACAGCTAATGCTGCCGAATACACTTCTGATGAAAAGCTAGCCTTTCATTTTCGAATGCATTCAAACCCGTTTTGGCCACGTTTTTCCGAGCGAGCCCAAAAAGCAGTGGGTCTTGGGTATGAAGCACCCAGCCTGGAGATGGGCACGTTAACTCACCCCCTGTTCCTGCCACCTCCCTTCCGCCTTTGCTCCGAGTTTCCTTCTTTGCCCCTTTTCTCTTTTAATAAAGGGATCACCTCGTTACAATTTCGCTGATATTGGTTCCTCTCCCAGGCTGCCCTGAGGGTGCAGGAGATAAGGGTTGAGCTTTCAAATCGCTTGAGAGGAGGTTTAAGTGGCTGAGAGAGCTGGTTTGGTTGGGTTTGGGAGTTACAGCGCACCAAAACTTTGGCATGATGCACCCAACAACCAGGGACAAATAGGTGGGTATTAGACCAGCTCTGCTCCCGTCCAAGCCTTTCCTCTTTCCCTGAAAGCGACTCTCTCAGAGATTTTCAGCCATGGCAGTCATGTGGTTTGCTTAAAAACAATCACTGTTCTTAAAAAAAAAAAAAAAAGACCAAAATAACACCCAAACAAAGCAAAGCACAACCCACATCTCCCGTCTGTGTCTCAGAAAGAAAAGATATTAAAAATCTGGTTGAAAGAATGCATTCAGCTTTGAGTGGCTCAGGTTAGATCAGAAATCTCACACATTTTTCACTCTGGGGTTTTCTTTTTTTTTGGGGGGGGGCTGGGGAGTTATTTTGTTGTGGTCTCTTTTTTTTTTTTTCTTGTTTCCACCACCCCACCCCCATCCATTTTTAAATGAGGTATCGATGATTTAAAGCACAACACTGAGCAGAGCAGACTTTGGAAACAGATTTCAAGCCTTCTAGCCCTGGATGGCACACAGTAAGGAGCAGGGATACTTTTTCTATTCACAAAGAAGGAAATGAAAAAAAAAAACACAAACCCGGACAAGAAAGTTGTGTACATTCAAGACAAGTAAACATTATACATGTGTTCATGAGACTGAAAAGGAGAAATGTTGTATTTCAGCTCCCCTTTCCTGGTTTTGGCTTGACTATTTTTCTTTTTATCTTCACTCTTCTACTTAACAAATAAATAAATACACTAACACTATCAGTACATAGAATAACCCGTTTTCACTTAAGTCCTATGAACACCTTCTGAGACGTTATGGAAATGAGCAAGTATTTTCATTACACCAAGAAAGGTAAAGCAGCACAAAAAGTTCACAATTAGTAGTCTTCATGTTCAAATAAAAGACTACGCTATAAATTTCCTGTCTTTAACTTGCCCAAATGCATCCTCCCGAAATTGCATGGGATAAAAAGACAATTAAAAGTAAAAACTCCAGTATAAAGCATCAAACCTTCACTTTAGAATTCAAAACTGAAACACAGGACAGTTTCATTTTCAATGATTTATTACTTTTTATGGACAGAAGGTCTCTTTTAATATTTTCTTAATTCCCACTGCCTGCATGATGTTTCTTTTCTCTCTTTTTTTTTCCTCCTTTTCTTTCTCCTCCCCCCCCCCCCTTTTTTTTTTTTTAGGTTGTGCTAGCAGAGGCAAATAAAATAAAGTCCAAAGTAGCGTCATTTTGTCTCCTTTGTACAACAGTACCTTAAAGAAAGATGACAGTTTCTCGAGTCCTTAGCTGCTATATGCAGGTTCTGCTTGGACAGTGTCAGTTATGTACAGTACTGGTCAGAAGCGAAGGATGAAATGGAAAATTTCACCTCTTCTACAAAGTTGTCAAGTCAGTCTGATGGTCCTTGGAACCAGTCTGTAAATGGGAGTTTGAACCAGAGGAAGAAGACCTGCCCTTCGTGTTGGGCAGTTTGTGATCTTTTTTCCACTTCATTCTTCTGTTCTGAAACCAGATCTTGATCTGGCGCTCAGAGAGACACAAAGTGTGGGCTATCTCGATACGGCGGCGCCTGGTCAGGTACCTGTTAAAATGAAATTCTTTTTCCAGTTCTAGGACTTGCTGTCTGGTGTAAGCTGTGCGAGAGCGTTTAGGTTCCCCTCCGTTGTAATTGGGATTCACTGGGAAAAAAATACGGAGAACTTTACAAAGCTAATCTTGACTTGCCGGTTCGACTTTACAAAAGAAAACCCTTACGAGCTGCGAGCATGTGGCCGGGCTGGGCTCGTCCCGGTGCCTTACAATGGACGGGCTGCTCTCCCCCCACTAAGGCAGGCAGCTAGGTAGGCTGGGAGCCCCTAGCAGGCTCCTGAAATAGAGTTTTCCCCTTGCACGGTAAAGCCCCGCATGGCCAACGGCCTATTTCCTCGGCAATAAAAATTTATGATGAGTGTAATTGGCTACCTCGGCTTAAAAAGCTCGCCCAGAAACCTGGCAGGGACTCGAGCGAGCGCCGCTGAGGGCGGCCGGAGGCAGGGTAGAAGAGCAAAGTAAGAAGAGGATCCTTACCCGAGTTAACATGGACTTTCTTCATCCAGGGGTAAACTACTGCTGGCTGCTTAAGTGCCGACCCGTGGGGGGGTTTGAGGGCCGGCTGCTGGCTGCAGGCTCGCGAGTTGGGCATTGGAGGCGGTGGACAATGCTCTGCTTGGCCGGGGAAGTGGCTCGCCGGGCCGGATTGCTCCTGTCCGTGACCCCGCGGCTGCACGGCAGAGCCTTGGGCATTGCTACAGCTAAAGGGCTGCTCGCTGTAGTTTGACCGTGGGTAGAGTCCCTGGTGCTGGAAATCAGAGCCCTGCGAGGCACTGTAGTACTCGGCCCCTTGCTCGCCTAGGTAGTTGTTCTGCAAATATTCCTCGCAAGGAGGAAATTTAGGATCCACATACTTGGAGTTCACCATGTACGAACTCATGGCCATTAATTTCTGAAGGTAGAAAATACTAATTTTTCTCGTGTTGTCTTTTTTCCCCCTGCCATAGAGCCCTCCTACTTGCTGTCAACTGAATAAAGTTAGGCGGGCATGTGACCGGCCCGGCCAATGGGGAGCCGGGAGCCCATCACCGGATTTCGCCGCAGCTCAGTGTTTCCACCGATTTCACCCCAGAATATCCCCGTAACCGAGTGACCCCCCTCCCCGGCGGGTCGCACCCCCCGAGCAGGTGCCGAGGTGCGGGGCACCCCTGGGGAAGCGGTGCTCCTCCTGGCCCGCAGGTAGGGCCAGCCTTTTGTCTGAGCTGGCGGCCCTCCGCCCCGGTTGACTGTGCTGTGCCGTCAGATTTCCCATCTGCGGCCGCCACCGGGGTTTGTTACCTCGCTTTAAGTAAAACACCGAAAGAAATATTCGGAGTGAGGAGCTGAAGCGGGGTTAAAAGGGAGGAAACCGATAAGGAGGCGAGAGAAAGCGAAGCCATCCAAGAAGAGGGTAATATGTTGTACAATAGATCTGTTCTGCCTTTGTCTCGCAGAGGTCATTCAAAAGTTACCAGAATTTAGTTCTGCTGAATAAAATTAGGCAATCAGTAACTTCTCATTCACTTTCAAGGCTCAATATGTATCTCCATGCATACGTATGCGCGCACAGACGCCAACGCACGCCTATATATGTAAAGCTATACACGTATGCATGTAAAACCATACAGATGGCAAGAAATCGCTCACTAACCACTAAAGTTCAATCAATTGAACTAGAGACGGCATTTATTTAAGTTAAAAATATCACGGCTTTAATGAGATAAATTCGGTCTTCATTCATCAGTATCATTCCAGGAGCACAAGTAAATCTATTCCAGTGAGGCGAGTGCTGCTCTTTTGCTGTTGCTGTAAATATTTGGATGCGATCTGAGCCCTTGATGGGAAAATTTTGCTAAGGTCTGGCATATCTGGCTAATTTATGAGTATCTTTAAAAAGATTCAGTCACCGATTAGTGGATTTTTTTTGTTGCTATTTTTTTAAATAAAATGTATAACTTCTGTTGAGATTTAACTGTTTGGATTCACAGTCTGTCAGTGAAAGTTACGACTGAACGACAACTGAAATTTGAAGAGACGTCCTAAAACCTGGCAAATAGGAGAGAGGCAGAAAAACTTTTGTAATTTCTGGGTGTTCATCACGGACATGCTTTTTGATTCCGCCCGTATTTAAACTTCTAACCATTTGCAGAACGGTGAAGTTTTTGCATCGACCATATATTCCCCTAGAATCGAATCTGTGACTATATGAATATCACACAAATTCGGTTCTACAGGGTATATATAGACAACGTAATAACATTCTGTTTTCATCTATAATATAGCAGGGCTTTGCAATTCTCTTAGTCCTTACTGTCTTCTGAGGAATGCAAACTATTCTGCTGGGACTCAATTCTGAGATACGGATTTGCAGGAAGGTGGGATTTCAGAAAAGATTCACGCTTCTTATTATTGCTGCAATACAGCCATACGACTCTCCACCAATTTATAGCGACGAATTTCGCCTACAAAATTCTCAGAAAGACCTGCTGCTCACTTTAAATGCTCTGCCGTTTACGTCCTTTTTAAGAAAACAGACGTTACCAGTCAAATCCCGCCACTTGGAATAATAATGGTTAAAATAATTTAGAAAGAGTCTTTATATATTTAGACTAACACGAATCTGAAGATATTCTCCATGGTCAGAATTTCCCCTCCCCCTAAAATATAAAATAATAATAATAATAATAATAATAATAATAATAGAGATATTGAAACAGAAGAAAAACAGCCGACAACAGAAACAGCGATTGGTGAAAAAGAGAAGAGAAAAGGCTGGAGTTAGTCGCTTTCGGGAAGAAGAGAGTTTCCAAATTTTCCAAATTTACCTTCATCCTATTATGCTGGTCTAGCTATTATCTCTGCGAGCTGCCTGCGAGCCGCAGCCTCTCACCCTCCCAGGTTCTCCCCGCCGTAGCGTTTATGGTGAAGGGCAGGGCGAGAGGTCAGCCGAAATCATTTACAAACATATCACAAAGTTTCATTATTTTTACTTTGTCGACAGCGGCACACAGGAGTACAAAAGTTCATGAATTGTGTCTGACCCAGCTCCTCACTGCTGTCCTGCGGTCAACCTCTTCTCCTTCCACTATTTAAAACAGGCACCATAAGGACAAATAATGGTGCAGGGGTAATACATCCAGCCACTGCGGAGGGCAGATTTGGGGGTGTTGCGTTTATCCGAGCGATGTGTACCGGTTTGTTTCCCTGGCTCCAATTCCCAGCTGCCTGGTCTGGGGATGCTATTTTTAAACATCTGCTTTCTTACCACTGCCCTGGTGTCTTCTTCACAGCAAGTGCAACTCGAAACGACTTTGTGTCCCTAATCTCCTTCCCCCTCTCTGTCGCCGTTGTGCCCCCCTCTTCCCCCTCCCGGATTATTTTAATCTCCACCCAACTATTTTCAGCGTCTCTCTCTGCTTTCTCCTCCTTTCTCCGGGGGAAAGGAGGATACCTCCCCCCCGGGTGGGTGTGTTAACCACCCAGCTGAACTGTCAGGGTGAAACACACACACCCAAAGCGAGGTGGGGTTTGGGGCAGCCCCCGGGAGCGGACGAGCTCTCAGAGGGCTGCCCAGGGAGAAGCAATGGGGCCGGGGAAGCAGCAGCTCCCCGCACTGCTTAATACTACACATTTTCATATTTGTTAGACGCCGTGACCTGCGTTTCACCTTATTGCACGACTTGCTCAGACAGGTCAAAGCCAAAGAGTTATTGATGAACAAAAGCGTTATATATTCACCTCCTGTTCAACTGCCCATACAAAATACTTTTGATCTATCAGGCTTTTTGTATTCTGGTTCATAATCAGTATGCTAAATTTACTTGGGCAGAAAACAAGTAATCCATACATTTAGGGCCGGCCCTGGAATAAAATGCCAAGGGCATCTGTATAGCACAGAACTGATCTACGAGTGGAGGAAAGTTATCTATGGAACAAAATTAAAACTTAAACGCTGGAGGCGATCTTTTAATTCGTATTTAAAGGGCTCGAAAACCAATATCACAACGTAAGGCAAAAAAAAGAAGCAGCCTGGCACAAGCAGTGAAAGAGGTTATTTATCAGCAAGCAGAGAGGGGAAATAGGGAGAAAAGCAAATAAACACAGCTCTGCTCCTCTACATGCTCCTCCTGGCCAGAACAGGGCTGGCAGAAGAGGGGAGGGCAATGTGTACCTAACTAATCTCCAAATAGCCCAGGCTTTCTTTTCCTGTTTGAGATACAAGCCACTCTCAGCCTGAAGCACCAGGACTAATACACTTGGCTCCATCCTGCAGCCAGAGAGGTTCAACAGCGTTTCCTGCCACACTCGGACCTGCTGCCCTCCCGTCGGTTCTCCCGGCCAAATCCCGCGGGAGCATCGGGGATGCAAAAACCCCTAGAGTAAAAGGTAGCTCTCCTAAGCTCAGACACCCGTTCCCTTCCGTTGTCTTCCCAACATTTCAGTCCACGTTTGAGTGTCCCTTGCCTGAAGAAAACTCAGCTGAGGCGGATCGGAGCGACCCGGCTGCAGGGGTGGCTGACCCAGGTGGCTCTGGCGCTGGCAGCCTCCAGAGCCCGCCTCCTCTTTCGCCCGTTCACTAGGCTGTGCCAAGCGAGGCTAACATTAGATAGCAGGCACGTCTCTGCTTCAAATCCAGGCTAGAGAGGAGTGGGAGTAGCCAAGGCTGTGAGGCGCTGGGATACAAAGTGATCCATCCAAGATCTGCGCGGGGAGGCGCTGTACAGACCAGCCGAGCCGAAATGGAATCGCTGCTAATTGCTTCAGAGTGTCTTAAAAGCAGGAGGACACCTGTACAGCCATAATAATCCCACAGGATGCTGCACCTCTACTTTTAACGCTAGCCAGGATTACAACATGGTACCACAAACTGACACCACAAGAGCCTTCCCATGCTGACATAGCCTTTTGCCTCTTCTTTTTTTTTGGGTGGTTAGCAATATTCCTCAGAGATACATCATTCTTAATTCTTCCAATTTGAAGGGAAGAAACAGGATTTTCAAGCAACACAAGATCTACAAGAAATAAAAGGTTACTCACAGTGGATGTTCTTCCATACTGGCGAACCTGTTGCAATAAAAACGTTTGTTACTGTTGTATTCCACATACGGGTGATATTTCTGGAGATCAGTTACAGACCACATCTGATAGATGAAGGCAGAGAGGAGCTGGTGGTAAATCCTGCGAGCAGCAGAGTGGTGGGGTGGAAGCCCCTTCTGAATGAGGGCCACGTTTCATTCAGGCAGTTTTTTATGAACACACGCTTTCCCTGTGCCTGGGGTGTGATTTTTTCACTTTTAATATTCATAGTCCAGATTTTTATACCACTTAATTTCTAAAAGGATGGAAAACCAGACCTCCCTCTTTCATTGGTGGAAAAAGGAATAACAAAGGCCTTTTTTTGTTCTGTGGCAACCCAGTCATAAATGAAATATTCAGATCACCTTTGCTAAACCATCACCCATAAAACATCACAATATGACACGCAGCATCATAACCATGCTGAACACAGAAAGAGCCAGAATTTGATAAGAATAAAGCTCGGATTACTCTAAGATAGGTCCCCTTTAAAATGACCCAATTAACCTAACAGTAACCACGAGACGTGTGTCTTTGTTTGCCTTATAGAAGGATAGATTTGACTTGAACTTTCCTTCAAATCTTCTTATAAATGCATTCAAAGATCACAATAAGCAAAATAAAACCACCGTCCAGCCTAACGCTCCTGAAACGCATCGTATGTTCAAAAGTAAATAATATTGGGGGATTCTTTTCTGTGAGCGATTTTTCAACCTCCTCTATTGCCTTTCTACGATATCTTGAAGAGTTATTGTATTACACACAGCGCAATTGCCCAGGTATCAGTAGCTCATTAGGTAGAGCTTCCCAAGACTGTTTTTTTATTAAAAAAAAATATATATATATATATGTATATTTAGTTCTGCCCACTCTGGTTAGCATTCAGAGCTTGCCAGGACGGCGGAGTCATATCAGCATTTCAGCACTAAACATTCCCTTACCCTCACTTTCCCTTTTATCTTTCTTGGGTAATAAATAAAGGTTAGCTCCAGATAAGATGTCCCGCTAAATTCCGAAACCTCCGTCGGGAGCACCCCACTCATCCCGGAGCTACCCTAGCCACCTGGGCTCTACCTGTCTGTTTTCCCCGCAAAGCCGTTCCGTAGGGCCATGCGGAGCAGCGCCTGTGCCCCGCTTCCGCAGCGCTGCTCCGGGCCCAGCGGCATCCCGAGCTTGGTGGCGGGGAGGCCGGTAGCGGACTTACTGCGCGCTTCCCCCGCGGCCGGGGAGACCCGGGAGCAGAGGTGCCTGCACGGCCGCATTCCCGCAGACGGTTCCCTGCTAACATTTTCCCGATTACTGCTTCCAGGAACGAAAGCATCTGCACTTGTATGCTCTTAAACTAATTTATGGTGGGAATTATATTTTGGCTTGTCAACTCTCAAGCCATAAAACAAAGTTTATTGGAATCACGTGCTCCTAAATAGCCACTCAGGACCTATCTCCGCGGAACCATAAATAACCTTCGGCTTTAAACTTTTATTCGCTAAATAAAGGTTCTCTGAATCTGTCCTATAAAACGGGAATGGGTCGGAGTAGCGGGGATGGGCAGAAGGTCAGCTCAGCTGCCTTTTTGAGCAGCGTGTTGTAGGGAAAGCTGCCAAGAAGAGAGTTACCACTGCTAAATTGCTCTTGCGAAAGGAGCCGGGTTAATTTAGCTGTGGGTACCCATTCAAGTCCTTCTTTGCACCTCTTAGGAGACAGGGAAGCCCATTGCCAGGAAGGCAAAAAAAAAAAGGAGAGGTAGTTCAGAGAGAGGGGCTTCTGCCTCTCCCTTCCCTGGATGTTTCTGAGATTTTGGTCAGGCGCCCTGGAAAACTGTGTTGACTTATTCATCTCCTGAGCTGTATCTCGGGAAAGCTGTACC